GTGTACTTTAAGATTTGTGCATTTGATCCGACGGTCGCTCATGCTTTCACCGAAACTGACTAAAAATCTGACGGCAGCCAGTTATTATTTCCCATAAATCATTCTTTATAGTAGTATCCCTTTCGTTCCTAAATATTTGTCTTTTTAAAGATTTCGAATGGAGTACCACATGCGGATGTATAAAGACATATTTTAGAGTGTAGATTCATTTATTTTGCTTCGTATGTAGTCACTTGTTAAAATTTCTAGAAAGACGAATATTTAGAAATGGAGGGAGTACATTTTTCTGAACAAGATTCCTTCATACATAGCACATCGGAATCCACTGTCACGGCAGCTACAACGTGCATACATATCGCTACTTGTGCGCGGCCATGGCCTTGGCCGTGGACACGAACATGTCCCTCCTGGGCGTCAGGACGGCGAGCACGAGGTCCCTGTCGGGCAGGCACTGCTGCGCGGTCTGGTCCGCCGCGTACGCCCTCGCCCACCGGCACAGCGCCGGGTGCTCCTCCTCGGTGAGCAGCCGCACCCCGGCCATCTCCTCGAACACCCCCAGCCACCGTGCCAGCCCGCTGGCGGCGATATCGAGGAGGCCGATGGCGTCGCCGCCGAAGAAGCGCTTCCCCTCCGGCAGCTGCGCCTCCAGCAGCGCCAGGCCCTCCTTGGCCTCCCTCGCCGCCGCCGCCTGCGCCTCGCCGGGCTCCGCCCAGAGCGCCACCCACAGGGCCTTCCAGCACTGCACACATTCGTTTCATCGTTTGTGCTGAATAAATGTACACTTTGCAGCAGCTGTTCAGCTGTGAGTGAGTGAGATGCAGATCTGCGGCTCACCTTGTCGTCGAGGAAGCGGGCCCAGAAGCGGGCGTTGGCGCGGGCGAGCGGGTCAGAGGGGAGCAGCGGCGGGCCGGCGGGGAAGGCCTCGTCGACGTACTCGACGATGACGAGAGATTCGGCGATGGAGCGGTGGCCGTGGAGGAGGACGGGGACCTTCTTGTGGACGGGGTTGTGGGCGAGCAGCAGGTCGCTCTTGCTGGCCATGTCGTCGTGGAGGAGGTCGTAGGGGACGCCCTTGAGGCGCAGCGCCACCTCGGCGCGGTGCACGTACGGGCTGAGCCAGCCGATGAGCTTGACCGCCGGCTGTTCACAAGGCATCTCCATGTCCGCCTGCCTGGTCGGTCGATTTCTACGTACGATATTGCTCCGGCCTCTTGATCGTCTATATAATATGTTTGGGCGAAGCTTCCCGGTGGCTTGGTGTCGAATCGAAGGCTGGCACGGGTGGAAGCTACCTGCCGGGGCGGGTTTCCTCCGTGTCGCCGCTGCCGCAGCGTCGCCGTGTGCCGACTGCCGACGCGAGCACAGCAGTGGTCATTGGTCAATGGTCCATTCGCAAAGTGGCTTGGAGCAGTGTCACTTGAGCAGCACGGAAGCCACCTTGTGCTGCACGGTATTCTTGCGTGAAAGTCCACCAGGATGATGCTTACGTGCAGGCCGGTGCCACGGGAGGGAATTACACAACCCACCGCTTATTGGGGCTGGTGTTGCACAAAACACCTACTATACGGGTTTGTTACATAAAACACCACATATTGATGTAATACGTTGCAGATAGATCTAGTCTAGTATTTGGATGCATTAACATAATTACTGACAAATGGGTCCCGCTTGTAAGTGCATGTGTGACAATAAAAATCGGTCACATCGGCCAACGTATATTAGACCAAGAAATGAAAAGATCAGAGTTAAAAAAAATAGTTTAATAAGTGGGCTGGAAGCCGACTCACAAAAATAGATGGACTGAAAGCCGATGTCGATGAAACAAGACACAACCATCTTGTACAGAGTGGCTCGAGCAGAGAGAGACGTAGATTTTCAGAGCACTTGCACCCAGGCCCTGCTATCCTGGCCCTCCAATATTGCTTTAAGACTTGTGCAAGATAACTAAATTTATATATGAAATTTTTTCTCTTTTTCATTTCTCTCATATAGAACATGTTTTGAACTTCAAACTTTGCAGCGCAGCAAAACTTACTAACTATAATGTGAGATAAAACTTTCAAAAAATTTCGTCCAATATAAATACTAAAAAAAATATTTTTAAACCAAATAAAACTTATTTTTTATATTTATGTGGACGGAAAAATCTAAAAAAATTATCCTATATTTGAGCTAGAAAGCTTTACTGTTCTGCAAAGGTTTTAACTTGAAGACATGTTCTATGTGAGAGAAACAAAAAAGAGAAATGTACTTGCACGGATCTTGATACGAATAATGGATGGCTAGATAAGAGGGGCCTAGGTGTTAGTGGTGATGGAGAGTCGTTCCCCAATCGCCGGGTAAGCGCCCCCCCCCCTCACCCAAGCTCTGCTCGTCTTCTCCCCTACCTTCCTAGGTCTTCTCACTAGTAGAAAACAAGGCTTTGGTTCGGGCAGGGCAAGCCCATTAGTCCCGGTTCAGTCATGAACCGGGTCCCATGGGGGCATTCGTCCCGGTTCTTTAGCCCAGGGGGGCGGCTGTGGCCTCGTAGGCATTGGTCCCGGTTCGTATGGACCCATTTGTCCCGGTTTTAGGCATGAACTGGGACAAATGAGTTGCCTATATATACCCCGTCGCCGCAGCAGAGCACTCCACAGTGCTTTATTTTTTCTGGCCGGCGAGGAGAGGGCATTTGGGTGCTCTAGCTCATCTCCTATGCACATTAGGTGTTCAATGAAATGCCCGAGCCACGCTAGTTAAGCTTTCTCCTCTCGAAACTCGACCTCCAAGCTCCATTTTCCCCGAGATTTGCATAGGTTTAGCGGTCCGTCACATCCCATCCCCGTCTTGACCGCCGTCGATCGCCCGTGCTGATCTCGTTGCCGGCACCATCGTGGTGAGCCTCTTGTTCTTATCTTCTTTCTGAAAGAAAATAATTCTTACTTTAGATAGATACTTGTCTAATTTTCTAACTTTTATTATTGCTTGTTATTATATGATGCGATGGTTTTGGTATCCGCCCCCGTCGGCCCTCGTCCTAGCTATGATTCGGATGTGGTATATATTATCTTTTTATAACCATTTGCTTCATTTATCGTTTTTGACAATTATGCCGACCAATGTGACATAGATTTTATTTATATAGGAGGTAGTTGAACCGGAAATTCCGACCGACCCTATTGTCGAGAGGTTAAATTTAGTTGAAGAAGAAAACAATTACCTGAAGGAAAAAATAAAAAAATGAGGAGGAGAAGATGATATTGGAGTTGCATGTTGCGGATGTCGTCGATGATCACAAGATCAAGATGGATGCAATGCGGTTGAAGATGAGAAAGATTAGAAAATATGTCATTCATACCGAGGCTTGGTATCATTGTGCCGTTGGATCAATTTTTACCTTGGTTGTGATTATGATCGCATTTGTTGTTGCATTGAAAGGTTTCACATAGTTTCAAGGTGGAGGCTCATCTATCCCGGTTCGTGTAAAAACCGACTAAAGGCCAAGGGCATTAGTAACGATCTTTTAGTCCCGGTTCCCAAACCGGGACAAATGATCATTTTTCTACCAGTGTCTTCTCCCTCATGAAACCCTACATTTTTGGGGATAAATTTTGTCGTTGATCGATGTATTTTTGTTTAGGATCCTATTTTTTGGGCGTTTGTGTTGTTATTATTTAGATTCTGCGTTCGATTTTGACATGTGTTTAAGGCCTTGTCCCCTGTGTTAGTATAAATTTTGATTCAGCAACATATCTGATTATTATCCTTTATCCAATTTTCATGCCAGCTACTTGATGCTAAAATCTAATGGGAACAATATCTACCATGTTTTTGTGTTGGTGATCTCATGCCGAACTTGCTCATTTAAATTTGGGTTCAAAAGTTAACAATTTTTAAAAAGTGTGATTTTTTTTGACATTTTCAGAAAAATGTGAATTAATTTCAGTAAATACTACATATATTCAATACTAATCTAGGAAAGTTTCGGCTCAACTGGACCACAGGTTTTGGAGATAATGACAGTCTAATATGTTGGCTGATGCGGCCGGTTTTTATTGCCACGCGTGCACTTACGAGCGGGACCCATTTGTCAGTAATTATGTCAATGCATCCAGATACTAGATTAGACCTATGTGCAATGTATTACACCAATATGGCATGTTTTCCGCAACAAACCCGTATAGTAGGTGTTTTGCGCAACACCAGTCCCAATAAATGGTGGTTTGTGCAATTCCCTCGTGCCACGGCGGTTCAACGGGAGAAATTGGATCTTTTGCCTCATTTTTCTTTCCACTTTGATCATTTGCCCCCTCCCCCCCCCCTCCCTCTCTGAGAATGACGGGTGGGGTCGGGGCCACTTGTCATTAGGACAGACATGGGGCAAACCATCAAACCTCTAGTAAAGTAGGGCAAAAGATCCACCGTGTTCAGCGGAGGTGGCACTTGTCATTCCTAATCATGGGGCAGTTTCGCCATCTTCATATGCAACAAGCCTGTTGTCGCTGGATTCGGCAGCATCACATCATGGACAGCCAAGCTGTATGGTGATGCTTTCCGTGGATTCGCGGAATTTCATCACCGTGAAAACGGTATTTCAAAATAGTGGAAGGACTTCCCCAAGAAAAAAAATAGTGGAAGGACATGCAAACATTTCTTTTACATTGTAATTTTTTTTTCTAAATGTCGTAAACATATTTTGAAGTGGTGAACATTTTCAAATGCAACGCACATTTTTTTGAGTGGTATGAAATATTTTCTTTTGAATCACACAATTCTTTTACATAGTATAACATTCTTCAAAATATCACGTACATCTTTTTGAAACGCAAGACAATCAAATATATGTGCCATTTTTTTCTGAAATGCGTGAACATTTCTTTTAGAAAACGTTTCCACCCAGTCAAAAATGTATGTGCCATTTTTCAAATATATTCGCGTGTCTCAAAAGTATGTTCCCGAAGTATTTGAAAAAGGTTTGTGTAATGTATAAAATGTTCAACAGTTTAAAAGTAATGTTTCATGTCATGCAAAAATATATTCAACATGCACTCAAAAAATACTTAGCACATACAAATAAAAATCTTCAAAACATTTACTTGAATAATATTAATCATGTACATGAAAAATGTTCAACATGTACCAAAAAATGTTTCACATGTATACCAAGAACATTAATTTGTATTGAAAGAAGTATACATGTATTTGAAAAAATGTAAAAATAGTAGAAAAACCCCAAAGTAAACCAATAATAAGACACCAAAAAACACAAAGAAAAGCCGATACAGAAACACAGAATGAAAAAAAAAGGAAAAGAACAGAAAAACAAAAAACCAAAAAGAGAGAAAGACAAACAGAAAGCAAAAGCGATTCACAACGGACCGAGGAAAGGCCAGTTCACAATAGAAGAAGAAATGCTACCTATGTGCGTAGGAAAAACACTTGCTGAGCCGACTCGTCCACCCGATCGCTTAAGAGGGTATAGAGCTCTGTCTAGTAACACATGAGGTATCGAAATCACTAGTTAATGGGCACTCCTGGAAAAGATTACTCACACCTTCTCTGGTGGTGGCAAGTGTCGCATTGATTGTCACAACCTGGGAGTTTTATACTTTTTTTTCATAGATTCATTTTTATAAACGTTTTATGTCTTGAACCATGCGTCCAAACCATGAATCTTTTCTCCTTGCGTTTTTCGCATTGAGGTTTTAAAAACAACCTGTGCTTCTACGAATCACACAGATCCAGCGAGACGGTGAAAGAGTGGGCTGGGCCGGCCCATTTAGCTAACGCTATGTGTGCACTCAGAGACTCTGTTTTTTTGTTTTAGGAATATTTTGGTTTGTTTTCTATTTTTGTTTTTTGTTTGTTTTATCTTCCGATTTTACTTTATTTTCCCTTTTTTAAAAAGTATTTAATAATTCATTTTTTCTTTTCCTTGTCATTTTCTCTTTGTCAGGTTTAATTTATTTTTTACAAAAATGTTTGAAATCCAAATTGTTCACACTTCCAAAAAAATATTGTCTTTTCCTTATCATTTTCTCTTTGTCAGGTTTAATTTGCTTTCTTTAAATTTTTTTAAAATTCAAATTGTTCACACTTTCAGAAAATGTTTGTGTTTCAAAATGTTAGGGAACATTTCTTTGGATTTCAAAAAGTGTTCACGTTTTCAAGTTTTGTTCAAA